GTTGCAGATAAGTCTTTGAGTCTGATCTGGCACAAATTATTTTTAACAATTAAGCATTAAGGGCCAAATACGATGGCTCACGCCCATAATCCTAGAACTCTGGGAGTCCGAGGCAGGTGGATTGCTCAGGAGTTCAAGACCAGCCTGAGTAAGAGCAAATAGAAAAAACTAGCTGGGTGTGTGACAGGTGCCTGTAATCCCAGCTACTCAGAAGGCTGAGGCAAGAGGATCACTTAAGCCCAAGAGTTTAAGTTTGCTGTGAGCTATGACTACCTAGGATGACAGAGTAAGACTCTGTCTCTAAATAAATAAATAAAATAATAAAATAAAATAAAATAAAATAAATAAAATGAATGAAACATGAAGAAAATATAAAAACAAATTACGAATAGTTATAACTCAGAGATAACCACTAGCAAAATGTTTTTACTTATATTTTTCTATATATATATGTAAATTATATAAAAATTAAACGACACTTTTTGTTATGGTGTAATTTTATTTTTCATTTGGCCGCCACTCGAGAACACTTCCCTGTGTTGATGTATACATGCATTATTCTCAGCAGCTCCAATGTTTATAAAGCTATGCCATAAGTTATTTAACCAGGCCTCTAGCATTGGACGTTTCAGTTGTTTTCATTTTTTTAATTATAAATAATACTTTAGCATACCTCATGGTAATACTTTTTTCTTTTTTTTTGCAGTTTTTAGCTGGGGCTGGGTTTGAATCCACCACCTCTAGCTTATGAGGCCAGTGCCCTACTCCTTTGAGCTATAGGCACTGCCCTCATGGCAAAATTTTATAACTAAACCTTTGAGGATATACTCAATTATTTTCTTACGGTAAAATATTAAAAGTAGAATTCCTGGTTTAAGATATTGCCTCTAATGTTTTAATACACATTGCCAAACTGGCCTCTGGACAGGTTGTTCTGGCAGTGTATTCATAATTTCCTTTTAAGAGGCAGGATCTTGCTCCCAAGTTGTAGTGTAGTGGTGTGACCATAGTTCCCGTCCCCTTCAGGGCTCAAGTGATCCTCCTGCTTTTGCCTCCTGAGCAGCCTGGACTACAGGCATGTGCATCATGCCTGGCTAATTCATTTTATTTTTTGTAAAGATGGGGGTCTTACTCTGTTGCCTGGGTTGATCTTGAACTCCTGGCCTCAAATGATCCTCTTTGCCTTGACCTCCCAAAATGCTGAGATTATAGGTATGAGCCACTACCACTGGCCTATCATTTTCTTTGATGAAATATGAGGTTTTAAAATTTCTCAATCAAAGAAACTATTTCAAAATGAAAATGTCGTTATGGCTACTCTTCTTTAAAATCATTTTGTAAGTTATCAATTTGTAGGTTTGCTAATTCAGTCCTTCTACAAGTATTTGGTGTACACCAAGTGTTTAGCTGAAGATCCTGAGGATGCCCAGTGAGGAGGGCCCAGGTGTTGTCCTGGAGGATTTCATAGTTTACTGGGCAAAGGGAGTATGTAATGTAAACAATCCCAGAAGATGTTACGGACACCAGCGGAAGGGACTCCTGACTCCCCTCAGGGTGTATCTCAAAGGGGGTCGCATCTGAGCTTTATCTGAAGGACAGCAGGTATTTCCTGGGCAGAGTAGTGAAAACAGCTGAGAAATCAGCAAGTCCTGAACTCCAGAATGCAAATGATCTGATGGGACTGGTCATGTGTTGTGGGGAAATTGATGGGAAATGGGGCAGTACAGTGAGTGAGTGAGATCATCTATCCCATGCTGGGGGGGTTTGCCACACCAATAAGCTTTTAAAGAATTTTAGGTAGGAGATGGTGTGATCAACATTGTATTTCATAAATCTGAACTTAGAAATAAAGACATGATCGCACAATAGTCTTATGGTAAGTGCAATAACCTAAAGAGAACCCAGCCTGGCACCAAGCAGGGCCCAGCCTGGGACCAAGCGGGACAAACACCAGCATCAGCCCCTTATCCTCTGTTGATTTTGTCTAACAGATCAAATAGGAAACTAAAGGATAATTGAAGTCTTCTGACCCCCAGAGCACTGGATCATCAACTTACAGCACTGTAGATGTAGATGTCACCCTAAACTTTACTGAGTCCTAAGCTCTCATTTTTACAGGTGAAGACATCTGTAAGCAACTTGCCCAAGGTCATGCAGGATGGTGCTGACTCACCTTTGCTGGGAATGGTCTTAACCACATTTTATAGTATGAGATTTCTTTTTCTTTTTTTTGCAATTTTGGATGGGGCCAGGTTTGAACCCACCGCTTCCAGTATATGGGGCCGGCACCCTACTCCTTTGAGCCACAGGTGCCACCCAGTATGAGATTTCTAAATTGAAAACAAAAAGTGTTCCTATGAATTTAAAAATCTTCTTTTGACACAGTTTAGCAACATTTGCTCCTTAATGATGATAAGCAAAAATTTGAAATTGCATTTAAAATAGATTGGCAAATTGACAAATATTTGTATAATGGAGAGTGACTTTTTAAAAACAAGCAACAAAAAAATCTTTAAGCTTCAAATAAATGAATATAATCTGGCTAAGAACACATCTTATTTTTCAAACTTGCTCATTTAATAGTGTCTCTCAGTATACAGGCAGTCCCTGAGTTACAAACGTCCACCTTATGTACAACTCAGACTTAGAAATGGAGGCTACACAGTTAATAGTAAATGTACCTGTTCCAACTTACATACAAATTCAACTGAAGACCAAACCTGCAGAACCCATCGCATTAGTAACCTGGGGATTGCCTGTGTCCTATTTTGCTGTTTGGCAATGAGGTTGCTTGTGATTAGCCACACACGTATCTACTGGCCTTCCCCCTCTTTGACACCCCCATAAAGGATCTTCTATTTCCTGGAACATACAGATTTTGGCCAGTAGAGTTTAAAAGATCTGCTTTGAAAACTCGAATCATCCCTTTTCTTCTGCTCAAACTATATGACAAAAAAAAAAAAAACCCGGCTGACTCCCAATTGCCTTTGACTTCCACAAATCAGTGTTCCCCAGCCATGCAACCTGATTACTCAGACTCCCTACACCCTCGCTCTCCTACCACGTGGCCATGAGTAACTTACACTAATAAGTTTAATTGGTGTGTGACTTGCAACTTGCCAAGGTCAAACGTCAGCATATGAAATGTCTTCTCCTTTGACACATAATTCCTCTATCCTGATGACTTTCTGGAGGGAGGTGTCTGTCTTCCTGGTTCTCTGTGGTTGTGTAAATTAACATTCTCAAACATGAAAAGCTTGCAGCATGGTCACTACACACCATGAGCCTCTTTCATCTCCTTTGCCCAGAAGTCAGGGCAGATCATATACAACCCTCACCACGCAGCACAGCAAGCCATGGCAAAGCTTGAAAGATGGGTGTTGGAAGAGCCTCAGCCACGGGAACTGTGAACGGGAGCCAGGATGGGACACTATATTCCACGGCTCTGACCTACCATGTTGTGCCCCATGTGTTCCCAGGAACAGAGCAAAAAAAGGAAAGGGTGGAATATCTGTCTCCCTGGCTCAATTTCTCTAAATTCTCCTCCCCTTTCAACTCAAAGTCCATCTCCACCATGAAGCCTTTGACTGACTCACTTTGAATAATGTCTCCCAGGGCCTGCTAATCATTCTGCCCTCTCCCTCCAGCCACAGTGATTGGTGCAAGGATAATTGCA